ATTTTTAGCGCTAAGTAAGACTAGGCCCCCAACTTTAAAAAAATCTCAATACACTTTCTGCCTTTGGCATTATTTTTGTTCCTTCTGTTTGTCCTGGCTATCATCCATTGCGTCACGTAAATGTCGTAAGACATTCAATCGCGTAGCGAGAAACTTTTTGAACTGTTTCTGAACAGTAGTTAGGCTGACATCAGCAAGCCTATAGGTCATCCCTCTCCAACCAATTCCAGAACCACTTAGTGGTAGCGTTCACGGAACGCGTGTGTGAGTGAGACCGTTCACGTAGAATGGAGTAAAGCAAGTAAAGGTCTGAAAGCGTTATTAAACGCAAACTCAATCACAGGGAGCATAGAGATCCAAAGACTAGGATTATTAGCGCAAACACCGCGCAAATGTCATTAATGACACGGTTGACACGCTTAGTTTGGACATCGGTATGCAAATGATCCGCTGTGGACATGTACAACCTGGTGACCAGAACCTTGAAGAAGGAAGTCCAGAACATGCCAATGAAAAGTGGATCACGATCCGAGACATTTGCCACAGGAAACTCGTGTTCACGAAAAACACGGTTGGTAAACAGCTTATCGGTGCCCTTAATATTGATGAATCAGGCACAGCCGCTAGCTGATCCATCTTGATCAAATGGTCAGCAAAGCCCACAATACCAGTGTTTCCTGCCCAATTCTTCGGTAGGTCAAACGTAAAGTCCATACTGATGGACTCCCAACATCCAGTAAATACGGGCAGGCTAGCCAGCGGAGCTGCCGCACGTGCTAAGGGTTTGACCCGCTGACACGTTTTGCACGTAAGCACATAGATTCTAACCCACTTTTATAGTTTGGACCACCGATACGTCTGGCTCACTGAGCTACAGGTCTTCTCGCGACCGAGGCGACTGCCTAAAGCAGTGTCATGTGCCTCAAAGAGGATACGATACTTCAACTTCCCCTCATGAGGAACAGCGGTAAGAGAGTTATCCTCAAAACCCGTGCAATAGCTGAACAACCCACCATCGATGACATATCAATGTAGGCTCGCACGTAAACGTACCAAAAAATGATGTCCGAGTCTTTAAACCCCTCGCTTCCAATAGCATGTATCAATGCTTCAAATTTTGCTAATCACGTGCATATGCCGCCCAAATTAGATCCACAATGGATGAAGACAGAGTCGTAACATAAGCAAGCTTATTATCAGGTCTGAGTAACAACACATTAGCTAAATATTTTGCTTGCCCGGCTTATACTTCACCTCGAAGTTGTTTTCAGCAAAAAATGAAAGCCAACGGGCCATACGCTGTGAGAGGTGAGGTGACTGTGTCGTAATGCGTAATGACGCATTATTTGTGAAGATCACAGAAAGCTTTGAGAAAGCAGGTTAATTCTGGACATAAAAAAAACTTTTTATTGCAAGTAACTATTTATCGTTAACTGGATAATTCTTCTCTGCAGCCTTTAGATGAAGAGTTTCATACGCATTGACGCGCTCATGTCCATCGGCATCTGTCTGCAACAGCGCACAACCAATAGCAAAATCAGACGCGTCACAGACGACACTATAAGGCCGCTCAGAGCCAGGCAAAGCCAAAATTGGAGTACGAAGGAGACTGTACTTTATAGCTTCGAAAGCTTTAGCATGGACTGCGTCCCAGCACCAAACTGCACCTTTCTTGAAGAGGTTGTGTAATGGCCTTACCATGTCAGCGTAGTTTGAACTATACTTGTGCAGCTGATTAGCAAGGCCGATCCGTTTACGTAAGTCCGTTTGGTTCGACAAAACCGACCAGTGAACAATGGACTTTACCTTAGCATGATCCGTTTGAAGGCCATGCTTCTCAGTGAAGCACCCTAGGAAGGTAATTTTACTGGACCAAAAATGCATTCAAAAGCGTTTGCATACAACTTGCATGTACGCATGCACTCGAGCACTTTCCATAAATGGTCAATGTGATCGTCCACATCTGACCTATCATGGTCTGCAAGACTTTGGACAAAGATGTCATCGAAATAGTTTTGTGCATATCCTCAAAGAGGTTGGAACAATTGCTTAACAAGAAGAATAAAGTAGCCGGGGTATTAGACATCCCTTTGTGCATGACAAGCCACACCCAAAGAATACCGCTTGGAGTACTAACTGCTTTGAGCGGAACATCACTCGCTCGCATGAGCAATTGATTTTACCCGTCGACCAATTCGAGTGCACTGAACATGTTGCAACTACAACATCTTTTTGAAGAACATCCTTTATAAATTTGAGTCTGTGCTGGTATAGTATTCGCGCTAAGCTTATTGTAAGCACGTACAATGTGCCACTTTCCTTTTAAATTACTGGCACAAACTGTCGGTGTCGAGTGCGGAGAATTGCTCGCACGTACCATACCAGCCGCGTCCTTTGCACGAAAGAACTCGTCAATGAAGTCACACTGCTCCTTTGGTAAGGCCATTGCCGTATCACACAGTATTTGGTTCCAGAAACCAGGTCAATTTCATGACGTACGCCTTAATAAGGAGGCATAGTGGGAGGTAAATCGTAACATGCCACATTCTGAAACTTCATAACCAGAGAATAAAACGGACCTTTAGGATCTTTTCAAGATCGATGACCCACTTCGGGCACTCAGTGCCGCCTTTGTGTCTTCCACGAAAGCCTCTTCAAGAAGTGACGACGAATTTAACTTACTATTGTATCTAATGAACACCAGATAAGTCACCTGACTTTAAGTGAGGCCAAACTTATCGACAGACATTTCTTCTATCTCAAACAGAGCATTCAGAGAGGGTAGAGTCTCAAGACTCGCTACCCCGTCTACGTCACCGATCACTCCATTAACGAGTGTATATAGCTGCTCGCTAGTATTGTTCAGTGACGTCACAGAAGCCTTGCGTTGCATAACATCACTCTGGCATCGCTGTCTTCTCTGTGATGAGACTGAATGTCTCAAAGATACCAAACCTTTCTCGTTCCCAAGGTTGATTACGTCATCAGCCTCAGCTTGATCTGTACAAGAGCGGGTGTCATTATCGACACCCTGGACACCGATGTCCCCAATATTAACATGCTCATCAACCTTAAGTTGCTCATTACCAGAGCCGATGTCATCACCGGCATCCGGGACAATACCGTCCCCAAGGTTACGTACTGCGCCGACCTTAATTTGCCCAATATCAGGGACTATTTGATTCCCGACATCTGATGATGAGTCAATTCCAGTGATATCACCACCCAGTGGGTACTTACATGCAACTCCACGCTCATCAAATGGGCGTTGCTTTGGCGACTTGGTGTTTCACCAACAATGTCTTGAATGACATTTAGTGTGTCGCAATCACGGCCAACATCACTCAGCGGGTACTTACGAGCCAATTCAGGCTCATCAGATGGGTTCAACCCGTGATGACTTGGCTCTAGGCCAACAACTCTTTCATCCAGTGATCCGTTAGCACAACGATTATCACTCGACGGAGTACGTGCCCTTTCACAATAGTCAACGAGCTTGTATCGCAGCTATAGTTTTTGACATCGCCAAGCTCAATGAGTTCAGCCACACCGATGTCCAGCACACTGAACTGTCTCAGTCCGTTCCTTGCATAGAAAGCGTTTTTTAGCATAGGTGAGCTCATGACTCTATACAGCTCTACTGCGAACATTTCGCGTTGCGCCTAAGGTTGCTGACCTCCAATTAGTCCATGGATTATGGCGTTCTAGCCATGCCATACCAAGGATGAGATCATACCTCTCATCCAAGACAAGGACGAGACAGCGTTTGACACTGTCAAATTCCAAAAACTTAATGCCTAAGTTCACAGGAACTTCAGGCATAGTAACTCATGCACCTGTCGCCAAGCGAGCAGAGATAATATCACTCTTTCGCGCCTTCAGATCCTCAGCATGCTGATAACTCCCTTCTAGGGAACAAAGAGGGAGATAAGATATAAATGACCCGGAGTCGATCAATCCTGACCATGGCTTATCAAATCCCTTCACCGTTGCTTTTGCAATTATTGAGCCTGGCTTGTAATCATGGTTCGTGAAATTGCTCATGAAGCAACTTGGGGCTAGGCTTTGTTTTCCATCGCATTTCAGAGGTACAATGGAGCCTAAATTTTCCTTAGCGGGGTGCCCCGCGTACTGGGTTTCGACGTTTTCTCGCGCCTTAACAACTTGTTGGTTAGCGACGGGATGTTATCTCGAATGAACCTTTTTGGTCCTTCTTAAAGGACAATTATAGCAAGATGTTTGATGCTTCCGCTTGTAGAACATCAACAGATGTTCAAACGCTGCTTAACCGAGTAAAGCTTAGATTCTTCCTTTATCTCAGCGAGACTAAGATCATGGGATCTGCCCGATCGTTAAGATGAGCATTACTTAACAAATTCGTTTGGAGTCCATAATTCCAATAATGACCAGCTTTAAAGTTGAGCTCTGCGTTCAATGCTATGTCACTGAACCCTCGAATGTCGAGGATTATGCATGGAATACTTCCATTTTGGCAACGCTAGTACGAAGATTCTCCATGAAAATGGTTACCATAACCGTTTCATGTTAAGGGTCAAATTGCATAGCACCAATGAGAGTTCTCAACATCTGGACATAAATGACCAAGTCCTTTAACCCTGGCGGGTTGACAGGAACCGTGGTCGCACGAGATGTGCCTGTTAAGGCAGGGCAAACACTTGAGATAGTTGCTGTTTTTAGTATTTCCCAGGTGTGAAAAGCCTCGTCTATCGAGGGGCAGGAAGTGAAGGCCCACTCCCTGGCTCTCCCGTCTAACTTTGATAGGGCCATGCCCACCTTTTGCTGATCTGACCTCAGCAAGGCCGAGCTGATGGCAGCCTCCATTTCTCGAACCCACAAAAGGATATTTATCCCTCTTTCCCTCAAAAGTCTTGACACTTAAGACCAGAAGGCGAGTCCTTGACTCAGTGTCCGGTATTGAAACATACCGAGTGGGCACGGTAGATGCCAAATGGTCATGGACCTGTCCAATCAACATGGACTCAAAGCTCAAGAAGGCCTTCACACGTGTACGGATTGCGATCCGGGGCTTGCGCCATTATAAGAGTCACTTGCTCGTGCCCGACCAACGCCTTGAGCTTCTCAAGCGTGATCTGCAGGGCCTCAGAGAGGTCTATGACCGTTGTCATCCTCGCTGATAATTTAGTCTGTGAAGACTTAGGTGTAAATGGGCTACAAGTGCTACCAAGTATATTGGAGATACTTAGCGCTCCTTAGCAGAGTAAGTCTTAGACTCAAAGAGTCCCTTAGTTGTAACAAACTAACAACAACATACAGTTGTTCAGGCGTACAAGCTTAACAGTCCCGGTTCCAAAGTGATTCGAATTCACAGTATTACACACTAACCAGTAACTACTAGTTAAACCAAGAGTGAGCGCCTTTACAAAGCTGATACTCTTGACAACACTACGCCTTTACTAGGCACTTGTGTCCAAAGTTTCAAAAGGGGAACTGAACTTTATTCATTCTTTAACCACGGTAGTAAAACACTAAGACCTTGTTGAGCTGACTTTTGCTTCCGATCTTAGGATAGAATTCTGATCCCTTATCCTTACTCGATAAGGTGCGGTATTACCGTAAGTACGTGGTACCAATACCGCACCACTCAGATCCACAGATCTTTGCTTGGTGTGGAAACACAACATAGCCGGTCCAAAAACCGCCGTGTAACCCCGTTACATGATGTGTTTATCTATGTCTTATTCTTCGGTTGTCGTTAAGTTGTTAGTGATCCGTCCAAATTGTAAGTGTGTATTCTCTTCATTCTTATATCGTTACTGTTATTTTATTTACCTCTGTTATCATTGCTGTCATCTTGCTTCAAAATTTTGTTGTGACTCTTGTTGTTGATATGTAGCTGGTCTATAAAAGAGGAGGAGATCAAGTCGTAGAGGGGCGAGCAGGCGTCCAAGTGGACGAAACCTTTGGCAATTTCGGACGAGTCAAACGACATGGTAGACATAGCTGCAACTGAATATTATTTTGAGAGGTGACAGCTCGATATGGGTTGACGCTATCGTTTGACAATGCTGCTGTTTTTCTGTTTGAAAGCTAAGTTGAAAACTGTGGCGAAGCCGATCACATTCATGCTCAGTCTGGCGCCTGAAAGAAGAACAGACACGTGGATGGCTCCGAGTCCAGCAACAATATAGTGCATATATGAAGGTTATTTAAGGGAGTGATGATGATCCATGAGATAGATTTATGATAGCAAAAAAACAACAGGTAAGCGTTTGAAAGTCGATTCTTGGAGGTGTCAACAATAAGCGGATATGTGCAGCAAAATGAAACAAAAACAGCATGCCTATATCTTGATGCCGATTTCTTCCATGACAAGGTGGAAGAATGATGGCTGACATTTGCGTGGTTGATGGTGCACCTCTCTCCGAAATAATATATAACACCTGAGAGGCCAATGGAATCAATCATGTTTATGATACCTATTACGTCTGCCCTTCCCCCCTCTTGTCCCACCCTGAACGCGCATAAGAGCACAAAAGAGGATTGATATTGGTGAAAAGCTCAGAACAGGATTTTGTTTGGCCAAAACCTCCCTACCGACCATCGATTCCGGCTGCATAGTCTGTCTTACCAGGCGCTTTAGCGTCTCTCATTGCACACACGACAATAGCTACACTCTTTTCCAAAACATCCAGCACATTATCTCTGGATTGTACACGATTTATGGCATGCCTTGTGTTCTGTATCAAGACTGCGGCTAACAACTTTCGACATTCGACATGACGACAAGGATATCGATCGACTCCTCCCATTTCAACCAAACAATTGCCCTTGCTATACTACCAAATAAATATCCGAGTGAATCCTACACGTCGCCTCGCTTTTCTCTTCTCAGAAAAAACACTTTGTAAAAAACGTCGCGCTGCCATACAACACCAAATATCTTCTTCCTCTCGGGACTTTCTCCATCTTGCAGAACAGCCCCAAATATTCCTGCGCAGGGGTCGCAACAACGTATCCCCCCCCTCCCTCTCTCAATTCTTCAAACGTTTAAATCATTATCATCCCCACCCTCTTTGATTCGATACTCCTCCATCGTCCAGCATTCATTTCGGAATTTCCACATTTCCACCACCGTCGCCCGAGTCAGTCCACGAAAGTCTTCCGCCTCCAGTCTCTCGAAGCAATGCAGGACCCCTCCCGACCGTTCATGATGTCCCCCATGGATGCCGCGGGTGAAGAGCGACTGCGACAAGTGCGCGCGCATATCCACAAAGCGTTCGGACCGGACGGACGCGGCCGCCGCACGAAACGGACGCTCGAGATGCCTGCCGAGCCGCCGATGCCCGCCAAGACGCCGCGCACGAAGCTCCGCCAGCGCATCCAACAGGCATCGCAGCTGAGCGCGGATCAGATCTTCTCGCAGCACTTTGGCGGTCGAGACGAGCTCTTGACCAGTGACTTTGACCTCTCGCGTCCAGCGGGACATCCCATCCCACGGGGGTCAAGACGAGTGTTAGGCTCGACAATGCACCCATCGGCAAAAGCAGCAACAACAAGATCCGAAGTAGCAGGAGTGAGAAAAGTAGCGGTACCAAGAGCACCGGCCAGCTACGTTTCCTACCGCTCGTCGGTGTCAGCTCCAGCTGTTTCGAGCTCGCTCTTTCCGAAAGCTGCCCTGTCTCGTGCAGCTGGGAGCCACTTGACACGCCCGAGTGGCATTCGAACGCCTCGCAAGGCAGTGGTGAAGCGAGGACGAAGTGGAGAGAGCAGTGCCGAGAAGGCGCTCGTGCTGAGAAAGCCGCGACTCGCTGGTGCGAGTCTTCGAGACGTTGCGTACAAAAAAAGGGCGGCGACAAACGTGCAGGTTGGTGCTCAGACAATGGCGTCCGAGACTCGAAAGTCTCTTGCTTCTACAGCCACTACTGGTGGCAGCTTTAAGCCGCAGGCCACTTTGGCGACGAGATTGGTCGGTAGCACGTCACCGAGCAAGTTCCAGTTTGCGTCGAGCGCGACGCGGTTGTTTACCCAGCGACAGGCACCGCTGCGGTAATCAGTTGTCGCATTGGTTGTAGACTGCCTCGAGACACGACATGAGCTTGAAGAGACGCGACGGAATAGTGCAAAAGGTTGCTAAATTGTGCTAAAAAGTGATATTGGCTGGCAGAGAGGAGGAGACAGGATGGACTGTTTGTGGAGGTGTTGTAGCTCAAACTTTCATTGTCGAATTACAAGTACGTTCACAATCTTCGACTGACTCGTGCTGTTGCGGCTCGTCCGGATGTTGCATCCGTGCAACAGTGTTGACGTCCGACTGGCGCTCGTTCGTGCTAATAGATCATGGACTCCATGCGGTTCAGCCGCTCGTTGATACCTGTCGGTAGACGAATCTTAATCATCCCCGCAAACGTGACGAGGAGTTCGGCCTTAACGCGCAGCGTAGCAATTGCAATGCGTCGAACTTCGCCCGAAAGCTGAGACTTGAGCCGGTCCGCATCGCGCACGAGGCACTCCATGTATCCGATCAGCAAGATGTGGAAGTTCTGCCGCACACTCTCGTCAAAGGCGAGAAAGCGGTCCACACACAAACTGAGGTCGTCCGAGTTCTGCGTCGGCACCACCTCCAATTCGTCAACAAACGCGATAGCATCTTCATACCTCTGCTTCTCAAAAATCTCGAGAAAAATGCTGATGTTCAGGAGTGTCTGGAAGGCAATGGCAACTGTGCGCGCATGCCGGTTAGCAAAAGTCTGGACCCAAGGGGAGCGCATCCACTGCTCCGAGAACTCCTTTGCCTCACGAAACCACTCCTCACGCTCTGCCCGCGTGGCGGGCAAAGTCGAGCTCAGTTGTGAATTGAGCAGCACAATGGCGCCTTCGATGTCCCCAGCACTCTTTAGCAACGTAAATGCATCGTGAAGGCGACCACGGGCTTCAGCTTTGCGGGCAGCGGAGATGATCAGCTCCTTGACTTCATCTTCGGGCTCGTCCTTAAGCAGTTGATCGAACAGCCCACGAGTGCGCGAGCCGTCTGCATTGTTCGTGAATCCAACCAGCACGTCGAATTTGCGCGTGTCAAGCAGCAACTCCGTGAGAAGATCCTTCTTTGCGGACACATCCGAAATACAAGCAGCATAATCTGCAGCTTCCGCGGCGTTGGCACGCTGGAAACTGTGGATGTACTGGCGAATTAGGCGCACGATGTCGACTTTCGTCTCGTCCTCCTCTTCCACCGAGAACAACGTGCACTCCAACATACCGTAGTGATTCAGTGTAATCGCAAAGTGTACGGCTTCGAGCAGGAAACCCTTTGACGCCAAGTATTTGATCGCCTTTTCAAACTCCTGTGTAATAAGCAGAATCTCGAAATACAGGAAGGCCGAAAACCTGCCACCATCAGGTTGCGCACCACCCTCGAAGTGAGCTGAGCCAAACCGCTGGATACTCTGGGATAATGTTGTAATCGTGTAAGGCCTGCCCGGCGTCGATCCAGTAGTTGCTGCACGCTGAATAAAGCAAAGGCGCTGCCACAGGTAGTCCTCCACAGTTGTCATGATACGCTGCTCGTTGGCGTTCACGTTACCAAGGCACAGCAGGTTTACAACGCAGCGCTCGAACGGATTCACAACAGAAACTGCGTCGATCGAAGTACTCACCAAACGGTGATAGCGATCCGCTAAGCGCTGGCACTCGGTAGGAAACTGCTGCGCAAACGCGTTCAGCGAGTCGGCGCTGCGGTCCGCATACAACCGCTTCTGGTGTGCACGATATCGCAAAGCAAAAATGATGTCTGCGTCAATTGGTGAGTCATCACCACTTGCGACGCTCTCTGCAACATTGACAGCCTCCTGATCACCACCGCAACGGAGACAATAGTACAGAATTGCCCATGTGTTATCCAGATCCGTACCACTGCCATTTGCAGCATAGCGCGAGCTGTGTAAATACTTGATAAACGCGCGAATAGTCGAGACCAAGTCTGGAATCCCACCAGTGGCGAGACTGTTCTTCTGCACAGTCTCTTGTACAAATACACGGAACTGATTTTCAAGGAAAACGCGCGCGCCGAAAACAAAGCGATGCTGTAGCAGCGTGCGCTGTGACGTGTCGCTTCCTTCTCTCACTGCAGCAAATTCACGCTCCAACAACTTTGGCGCGTTCGCCTTGGTTGCATCACCACCAGCCAGAATATTGTTCACGAGCTGCCAGCACTTGAGCACAGCTTCCCACTTGGACCCAATCACCGACACGGACACATTGGCCGCGCACACGCGTTCAAAGTGCCGAGCAACGTCAAATTGACTGCGCGTGTTGGGGACGCGACTACTATTGAGTTCCCTAACGACCGAGTAGTAATGCTTCATCTCTTCAGTCATGGCATTTTCCATCTGCGTCTGCGACATGTGCAGCGACGACGCTCCAGCGTTCATTGACGACTGGAAACGTGGCTGGCCAGCAAAAGATGCACCTGAAAGCCCTAGACCCGATGCCGGTTCCATGGCCTGTTGTTTCTCTATTGCTGCATTGGAAAAGATGCCAGCAGCATCGTCTTTGTCGTCATCCACACGTGGATAATTGTGGACCCCGAGCTGCTTGGGAGCTCCAGTGCCCAGACTCTCCAGTAGCCGCTGCTTGTCTCCTTCAAAGTCGTCGATCATTGCACAGTTCATGCGGTCATGAACCGCTTCCACCGTGCGTCGAGTCACGTCTTCAATAGCTGTGAGCACAATCATCTCGTGGTGATGAGCCAAGTATCCTTCAAGATCCGTCTCGCCCAGCACCGTCTGCGGCTCAAGCTCTTGCGACAGTTCAAAGTGCTCGAGTTCCTTGCGAAGCTTCTCGGCGTCAATACCTTTCGCTGCCAATAAGAAATTGGCCCTGTCATCTCCTGAAGTAGCTGGACGTTTGCGGCTCGGACCCTGCGGGGGAAGCGAGCGCGACGCGTCGTCCAGCTGCTCCAGGCGCTTCTCGAGACGAGGGATGCCTAGCTCTTCAAGGGACGCGGTGAGCTTGAGAGAGCTCTGATACAGCGCGCGGAAATCCACGTCGTTCGAGGCCATGGCGAGGATGGATTTGAGGGCGGGGTTGTCACGATAGACGTAATTTCGAGGATGGGTTTATGTGGGATGGTGGTGTGGTGGGATGGTGATGGTGTGGTGGACACTATGGTGGGACGCTGCGGCTCGCTGCGGCTCGCTGCGTCAGCAATATCTGATTCTGTGGGGCTTGAGTGTTGGGTGTGCGAGAGTGTTCATTTCGAAGGACCGCGTATAAATGCCATAAGAATCCTCTTACCATGCTATGCGCTGACCGTTCTGGGTAGAACTGATCAACCAGTCAGCTAGGTCGCAAGCAAAAACTTTCACTTGTGCAGTGCACCCTCCCTCACTGAATGCATCGACACCCACACACAATACCGGCCTCAACAACAGCCACATAATGGAGTGTACAGGATTGCAGAAGGTGGACATTTCCAAGATATTGCATGAAGTGATACAGCAGTGTTTAAAACACGGTTAACGTGAATGCCCCGCTCCAGGTAGTTTCGCACCTCCTTTTTGGCATGGATAAAGATGGACGAGTTGACGATCCTCTCGAACAGCGGTCACACGTAGAATCTGAAGCAAAATGTGTCCTTCCTAGCTCTTTGACAAAGTGACGATCAATCGACGAATCGTGGTGGCAAGATGCTGGCAATAAGAAACGTTTACGCGTTGTATTTTCTTCACACTAAGGTCTGTCAGAGTGCCTGGTCACCAAGACGTTAGAGCATCAGACTCATAGTAACCGAAAAATTTGAAAACAGTTTGGCACTCAACGTGCTCTTGCCACAATTTTCATCACATCTTATGGCCAGTCATTTAACTTAGTGACAGGTCCACTTGAGTGTCCGTGAATTGGAGTAAACATGGTCGATTGCTATGTCCTTATAATTTCTCGAGCTCGGAGAGTGTAACCATGGGCACAACTCAGTGCGCGAAACATTTGTGCGAGTAGCCAAAAAATTCTCGCACTGAGTTGTCAAAAGGGGTCATGAACGCGTCCCTAGACGATTTAAAATGTGTGTCTGCTGCAGTGCAACGAATTTGTACGCCCTCGAAACATGAGCGAAGAAGCATCGCCGGCATAGCAAAAAGGAGCACTGTTGGGCTTTCGAATAGGTTTCAAGACAGAAAAATGATGGTCAAAGCCATTCGTTTGCTAGGCTTGTATAAAACGTAGCGCAGCGCAATCGGGTTCATCACGAAAGTTGTGCAAGGTCCACGGGCTACTGCGTGATTAGGAATGGCAGGGTAGACAATCTCTACATATGTGAGCTTACATGCAACGATGTCACAATCGTTTTGTTGCCACTGCAGTAGCAGCGATGCATCGTACACGCTCTCGTGCACACTATCTACTTTGGAGAATTTTGTCCACGTGATACAAAAAACAAGACGAGTATTTTTTAGAACTTTTTTGGGATCACCAGACTCAGGATTCCTGCAGCTTCAGAGGATACATTCGTCCGCTTTCGTCATCTTTTGTATTTGCAAGAGAAAGTCAGCTCCAGCAAATGGAAAGCACGTGCAGAGATGACAAATTATAGCAAATGGACATTCCAGAGTATTTACTTCCATTGGATGCATCACCGGTATGTCGAGTGTTTGACGGTTGTGTACAACAGCAATGCTCTTGTAGACCATTTCGTGAGAAAACAGGACGAGTGATGCGGTGCTTTCATACAGTGCATCAGCGTGGGGCCTTTGCTTACGCTGGTAGCTTGCACAATATGAGGCAGCATGACGTTGTCCGTGCTAGTGCGTTGGGCTTTGCGACTGCCGTAGCGCATCCGAAGTGATATCTGTCGCAAGCGCACTAAGCCACGAGCTGTCATTGATGTAATCTTTTCTGTCCAGCATCAAAGCAAAAGCTGCAATTCAGAAAAGTTGTTGTCTCGTACGATGCTAATCACAGGTGCAAGAACAAACTGGAGGCGAGTGATCCGCCACAGAGCACAACATCTGATGAAGTGTCTTGCGAGCTGCCAACCGCACGTTTGATGACGACATCCACAATCTCGTCTTCCGGGAATACGATTGATCTTCAACTGAGTATCATGACACAACGTATCTGTTGCTCAGATGTTGTCGCGGGGTCCACGAGCAGTTCAATTTGTCGCAAAGTGGGTCCCTCGACCTCGATCTTGCGCACCTCTACATCAATTCCATTGCCGAAACGTGGCACTTTTATTCACTTGCTCGCCTAGTCTCTCAATAAACCACCATTGTCTGACTGACAACGTGGGCTTGCTGTAGACCTCAACTTCGTCTGTGAGACACCGCGGATGAACGAGTCTGCATTTAGCAAGTTGTGCGACAGATACCGTAAAAGTCTAAGCGTAAGTGATAGATGTGGGTCTAGCTCCACGTGAAATGCTGTGACGCAGGAAGCAGAATACGCCAAATGCTGGTTCAATTCTCCGAGTCGTAATAAAGCCGTTTGGACTCACCGTTCACGAAGTGTCCATGCGAAAAAAGCAAAAAGACGGGCGGGGTAAACATGTGAGAAGTCGCAACGGGCGCGATCCCGCCTTGGGATTGAACCTGTTGAGCTTGAGCACATCTCATGCTTGTTCGGCGTATTACCGTGCTTTCTACTGCCTGGAATGCAGGCTTGGATTAGCACTGGCAGATAGGACGGATCGAATGAGTCACAACACCTCAAGATCAAATTCAACACCACAAAAGTTCAAATGCAAACGACATTGTCATGAAATGAAACGCTACTCTGACTACCGTGTGAACACAGCATCGAACCTGCTCCACAAACAGCCAAGCAAAAGTCCAGATACCAGGCGACAAACTGGCAAGCACTTACACGTAAAATGCGAACTGTGTTTATCGGATCACTGCTTCACATCAAAAAGGCCACGCCTTGTCCAAAAGATGCTGGAAACGTTCATCGCTCAGGGGCATCTTTTCTTTGTTGTTGATCCATCTGGCATGATTGAGTGCGCAGCGGGCGGCAAACGGCAGTTGCTCCCACATGATCAAGGGGAGGCGTGCACCACCTTTCTTTTCGCTGATCCCCAGGATTAACCTTTCACCCCCATGAAGCCCAAACTCGATCTTGACGCTCTCTCCGGCCTTTTCGCCAGGTTTGAACTTGTAGGACATTCTGTTCCAGCCCGCCGTCACCGCCAGAAACGTCGTTGCCTTGGGGGTGGCGAGCCAGACGATAGCGTAGTCCCAGCCGTAACGATGATTCTGTCCGTGTGTCGTCTGCTGTTTCGGCGAGAAGTAAGCGTACATGATGGCAAATTTGCCTCTGATCCAGGTCGAACGCCCATAGACTTGAGTGCCATGCCCAGATCCCTTGCACATGCCATCAGACCGCCCCGAATTTTGAAGACCTTTGCTAATCTGACCCAACGCATTCACTGCGGGGTATGGGTAGCATCCGTAAGAAATGACGACCGTTGGATTGAATCTGACGGCCGCCCTCTGGGAATCTGTCGTGGGTCTAGGCTGGTGAAATGCCTTCACTTGGTCGTGATTGATCTTCGTGATTACAGGGGAGCACGGATGAGGGCGCGAAACTGGGGCCAACACGGCTAGCAGAGCAGCATACACGAAGACATCAGTCCTCATACTTGTTTGCTGCTGCGTCTTCCAGTGGGAGAATTGCACAATGAAGAAAACTACACTGCTGAGCGACAACAAGCGCCGCAATCGGTCGACCATATTGGTGAAGGGAAACAAGCTCCCCAGCCGCTTTGAGCACATGTAATTAATTACCTTCGGTGATGTGTTGGACGCTCTTTATGGTTCCGATTTACGGATGATTACCAGCATCGTTCCTCCTGTTCAATCCATGATGGTGTAGCATGCTCTTCGTAGCTCGCTGCATCGCAAAGAGTAGGCTGCACATCCTAGAAGTGCATCGTCCATGTAAAGCGTTGCGCGCGAACAGCAAGCAGTAGATTGTGCCTGCGGATGTTTGTATCCTAATATTCGTGCACAGAGACTCCTGCGTGAGTGTCAAGATGTTCGAGCGGATGCGATGACATTGCCGCAGACAAGTGGTGATGTATCGAGTGTGCTGAGCATACATATAACAATGTCTGGCAGTTCGGACTAAGACTTTCATATAGAGTCGGTTCAAGCCGCGCGTCGCGACGGGAATCTCGTGCGGATGAACGAAGGCTCAACGGACCTGATTACCAGCTCCGCATGCAGATGACCAGAATCACGAGCAAGTCACAGATGCAGGTGAAGAGGGACAATCGCACGACTAAAGAAGGACAAGCGCGCAGCTGAAAGATCGTTTTATAATTGCTCAAGCGAATCATATTGTACAACCTGCAGTGGCATTACATGTGTGCAACAGTGTATCAGGCTCGTGTAACTATTTGAATGCTTTAATCGAGATAGGTAACTGTGCACGGTAGAGCTAACAGTGACAACTGAAAGATAGCCTAATTCACTTGGCGCCAGGTGGTTTCCTGGTAGGTGCTTCAGCGTCTACATCTTAAAACACGTCGAATAAGACGTTACATCTGCTCGACAGCGTCAAATAAGACGTAACCTATGCTCAACAAGCATCAAATGAGACATTACATCTGTTCAACAGCTTTGGTAGGGCCGGAACAATTCTAACACAGGGTCTATCCCCCCACGACATGCGCCTGTGCAGCAGCTAGATCACAGAATTTGGATGGGTCAAGCACTTCCAACCGAAGACTAAGGGTGTTCCAAGTGCAGATCCAAGTACATCAATATATGGAATAAGTCATTTTTGAGTCGTGATCTGTGGTTGTAACTGGGCACCCTTTGTTTGGGGTGCCTCGAAACTTCACGTACGCTAGTACGTGCAGAGGAAGGTAATCTACTCAAATTGCTAGTTTGAGTAAAGGTAAAAAGAGAACTGAATTTGATGTAGTTAAGCTATCAAGATAACTTTAATCTTTATCTAACTATGTCAACCGATCTTTGAGCAGCGCATAAATATTACCGAAAAGAGGATAATATTGATAGGGAATTGTCAAGCTAGACAACCTATCTATTGACACCTTTTGGTGTCAATATCATGTAACGGGCTACCCCGTTACAACCCCCCCTGAAACATCAATAACCCGTCGATTGAATATAATTGATTGGGACAGGGTGACCACCGTTGGATCACTCTGGGAAGGGAAGCACTTGTTGGTCAAATTCCAACTCAATTGCCAATCCATCGCATGGTGTCAAAGTCCATGTGGTACGATGCCGAAGCAGCAAGAAAGGCGGTTGCACGCATGCGTGCAGCCGATCAGAGTACTCTTCAAGCCTCAGCAGCAGGTGATCCAACATCTGTTGTTGCGATTCAGTAATAGGCGGTGCCTGTTGTGAATAGTCCACGTAGTGAGTCATTACGTGCGACAGATACATCCGCTGCGTCTGCAGCGAATGCTGCATCTCGCAATGTAAATGAGCCTGTAATAGAGCTCATCTATTGTGGCGAGTCGGATGATGCGTCCAACTCGAAGGCGACACCTCACGCCCCCGGGTCATCCGAGGCGGACACTGCAAGAGCCAGGTTGACTGGCTCTGGAGAACGTGGCGCTATCATGTCCGAGATCTTCGGACCGAGCGATACTTTTTAACGAATCCTCGTGCGAGGCAAGTCCATTAGACGATAGGACGCGTGATGATGGTGGTGATGCACATATGCATCCCCACGAGAGAAGCAACTCGAGGGATCGAGCTGCCACTGGTGTCAGTGATCATGCTGGTACCACTCAAGAGGTCAGGGACCGAAATGTCCTGCGCTACGCACCTCAAGTGGAGTCTTCTTGGATGCCGTCATCGAAAGGGTTAGATCAAGTGGCCGGCATGATTACCGAACGGGATCAAATCCCGTTGTTCGACTTTAGGAAGATCCTTCCTCCTGATTTCAGCACGGAAACTATCCGTGCTGAGGAAGAGTTCTACAACGATGTGTTTCCAAACATTGGTGGTACAACGGCAGCCGTGTTCGAGACGGCAAAGCCTTGTTGCAACGATGGAATGCCTTCATCCATAACATCGATTGTATTGGCCGTGAGGCCTAGCTCGGTAAACTCGATGCAGCTCGCATCAGATTTGAGAAGCTTAACCCCGTGGGTGTACGATACAAGTTGTACTGACTGTCAAGAGAGACAGGGTTGCCCTGTATCAAGTGGGGAGATACATGTCCAGGGTGCCTGGACAATGCGAATCGTGCCCCTAGAGAGGCCTTCCTCCCTAATGTTCCATACTGGAGGGTGAGCATCTCTTCTGAGATGGCCAAAGGGATTGACGCTTTGCAATCCCTGTACTCGCGTTCGGGGAGGTCGTTTTCCGGCGGCCCTTCTTCGAATGCAGCAGGTGGGTCTCGTCATATTGCTCGACACGACCAAGGACATCAACAATCAGCTGAGCACGAGGCTCCCAGCTGTCTCAAGCCGGCCGGTGATAGCCACGCCAGCGGACGTGTTAACTCGTCCGGACGCCATTCATGTCGCGGTGGCTCAAAATACACTTCATTAGAAAGCGTTGACCACCGCCTGAGTCCACCAAAGGATTTGGTGTGGGCGGGAACACCTGATCCGGCTCGAGGGTCGGATCAGCTTGATGTTCAGGAACTGAACCGTGTAACGGAACAGTTACACGATTACATGGCTCATGAACGGACTCGACATTAAGAATTCCATGATCTTGTAAGGGATGATTACGATCCCTTAACGCTCGATCGTTCGAACGATCGTGCCGCGTTTGCGTTTGCGCAACTTGAGAACGAACGTTCGGTTTGTTCTCTTCGTGACGAACTGATTGCATCTCGTCAAAACATCGCTCAGCTGCGTTAGCAGGTCGCTTCGCTTTTCGACCAGACTGGCTCTTGATGAAAAGGGACCACTCGAAGGTGGTCTCGTCCCTCGACCGCGGAGGTATTCTTCGCATCTCAAACGGGCTCGTACTGATAGTACGAGCGGAGAAGGCCAACGTAACATTCAGGATGCGTGCGCATCCTCCAAGGCAGTTCAATCGTGTATGCGGTGCCCATATGGCGCAACACACGAAATGGACCGATATACTTGGGCAGTAATTTACTGCTGACCACATTTGTCATTGCGTGTTTTGGTAGGTTTGATGTGACAGTAAATCTAGGTCTCCTTTATCAAATGAACGAGCATTTGCTCTTCCATCTTTTTATGCGTTTCGTTTTTGCCTGTATAGTGCATCTGTAATAGAGTCTTGAACGAAGCGGACAACCGCTTCGCGAGTCAGCAGAAATTCCTCTGCTGATTCATCCTTGTAAACAGCAGTACGCTTCGTGTGCACTGCTGAAAGAACGTTGTCCTCACCAGTGAGGGCGTCTTCGTCACTGTGGCACTCGTTGGCGATGCTGAATATACCAGCAACGTCGTCATCATCGTCCATCACGTCGACACCATTGTCGGCGGGTGATGAGGAAGAAACAGATCGGTTTTGTTCGAGCTAGTCCCCCTCCCCCTTGAACTAAAGTCACACTCTAAGAAGGCAGGTAAACGTGGATGGATTAGGCCATTCACGAAGAACGGTGTATGCGTTGTCGACGCGTGCATCGAGTTGTTGATGGCGAATTCCGCCATCGGCGAGATCTCACTCCAGCTCGCGAACGAGTGGACATACCCTCGGAGTATCTCTTCGAGGACGCTATTGAAGCGTTCCGTCTGACCATCTGTATCGGGATGGTCAGAAGTTGACATCTTTAAACGCGTTACAAGCGAACGGAACACGGATTGCCAGAACTCAGCCATAAAGCGGGGGTCCAAATCAGACACGAGTTCACGGGGTAACCCGTGAAATCGGAAGATAGTATCGATGAAGACACGAGCACAACCCTGGGCTGTGATTGACTCCGGTACAGCAACAAGATGTACCATCTTGCCGATCGATCAACAAATACAAGAATACCAGTATTTTTGTGAACGTCTTTGAGAAAACCAAAGATGAAGTCCATCGATGCGGACTGCCAGCACTCTGCCGGAATCGGTAGAGGCTGCAAGGGTGCACGGGATGAAGGACTAGGCTTCGGCCGTTGACAGGCTTCACAAGCGCGAATGCATTTGCGCACAAACTCATTCTGGCGAGGCCAGTAGAAGTCCCGACCCACCGTAAGGTAAGCCTTTCCTCAAATGCGATGCCCACTTGATGGGGCATCGTGACACTCACACATGATGCACAATCTCAAACCATCATGAGCGGGAACGACGACACTAGGTGTATCTTCGGTGAATGCTCTATAGTACAGCAGTCCATCACGAGCCGAATACCGGTCAATTGAAGAGCAGTATTGAGACGTCAAGCTTTTCAAAGCTTGATTGCATGGATTAGACACATAATCCATCGATCACAGAAGAGACTCATCTTCTGCGTATGCTTTCCGCACGTCGTTGAGCATCTTCGAAGACGGAACGCTCACTGATAGCGATGCAACAGTGGAAATAATCCTACTGTTGGGTTGAGAAGTCGGCTCGAAATCGGGCCGACGCGAAAGAGCATCAGCGACGACATTAAATCGTCCTGGTTTACACTTGACGGAGAAGTTGTACTCCGAGAAGAAAGACAGCCACCTTGTCATTCGTTGCGAGAGGTGTAGACTGTTTACGGCCGTGCGCAACGACGCATGATCGGTATAAACGATAAAGGGCCTATCTTCTAAGAGATATAAATGAAACTTAGCCAGTGCATATTTTATGGCAAGGCGTTCCTTGTCATGCACCGGGTAATTACGCACAGGTGCTTGCAGCTGACGCGATTGATAACAGACGACGCGCTCAACGCCGTCTGAATCGTACTGCATTATTGCGCAGCTGATTGCAGAATCGCTGGCGTCACAGACCACATTAAATGGCATATCCTGTTCTGCAATCGCCAACACAGGCGATTACACCAAAAATTTCTTGACGCCTTCAAAAGAGTGCTGACACTCAGCACTCCATGACCACCTCTCGTTTTCTTTAGCAGACGAGAGAGATGTACGGTCATCTCGGCATATTTGCGCGAGACCTTGTGAAAGTACGCCGCTAAGCCAAGGAGCTTTCGAAGTCCCTTGACGTCGACTGGCATAGGCCAGTCACTAATCGCCTTGATCTTTTTCGGATCAGGGCGTACGTCGTTTTAACCCACGATGCAGCCAAGAAGTGGCACTTCGTTCGCTGCGAATATACACCTCTTGAGGTTAGCGAACAACTTATGCTCACGCAAAAGTGCAAGATCTCCCGAGCGTGGATTCTATGAACCCCCACGTCCGTCTGTCCATCCATAGCCCGGCTATGGACGAAGACATCGTCCTAGTAACTCGGTTCGAAATCGCGCACCGATCGCAACAGATTTGTATCACATCTGTCGAACGTTGCGGGGGCGTTACTTAGCCCCTGTGTCATCACTAGCCACTCCCAGAGCATACCACTGGGGGTACTCACTTCTGTGTAAAGGATATCCCGTTCACGCATGAGGATCTGATAGAATCCATCCATCAGATCAATGGACGAAAAGATGGTGCTTTTTGCCATACCATCAATGATGACATCCTTCCTCGATGTCGGCGTTTGAGCCGGTACCGTTGCAGCGTTTAATGTGTTGAACACGTGCAATATTCGCCACCCTCCTGTGGCCTTTCGTACACGGAAGGTCGGAGAGCTGTGTGGGGATGTTGATTCCCTCACATGACCAGCCGCTAAACGATCGGCAAAGAAAATGTCGATCGCTTTTAACTGTTCACAAGGAAGTCGCCACTGCTTCATGACACAGTACTTCGAGCCGGTTTTCAATTCGATCTCATGCTGAGTTCCTTTGTCCTTGGGCAGCTCGCATGGCACGGATAAAGGGAAAATATCCCTGAATCTGACCAAATCCTTATACAAAGGATTTCTCCTCAAAGACTCCCAAGATTGAGACGTGTAACGCTCAATCCGAGTTCTCACTGAGGACACTCAATCGATGAGCTACTGAGAATCTGTTCGTTCTCAGTAAACACTTGTGCCGACCAAATATCGGCAACGTACTCGTCCTCTGTGACGAGTACGCAGATCTGCTTGATCTTGTCACTACGCAGATCTCGCAAAATTCTTATAGATTCTAGCGTTGGCAACTTGACTACATCCGAGGCTGACTTTGGAGGTGTAACCAGATCAAGTGTAAAAGCACCTACATTTGATCTGTCATTCACCAAGACATTCACTATCTCGGTGCTTTCCTAAGAAACACATCCGCAGGTGGTTGGGGATCCACACTCTCGACATAACTCTCTCGGGAGTCATCACTCTCAGGAACGCTGTAACTTCTCATTACGTGTACTGACTGTAGGTGTTCTACCACGGTCACGTCCTCTTCGATTGAATCTCTTTTAGTTGATCGGGATTGATCTACGATCGACTCTCTGTTAGCCGATCTCGCTTCAGCGTGTTGCTCACCCTGAACAGCACTAATCTCTCTTCTTGGATGCACCCTTCTTGGTGTGCATCGGTGTTCCTGTCCACTTGATCTCTTCTAGTGGTGAACTGTTGGCGCAGCCTGTGTTTCTACACAGGTACCGGAAGCCGGTTCCACAGTGTAGTGGCCTTCTACACTGTGATCTTGTGCAGTCGTACTAACGACCGTACCACAAGTGAGTCCATCGCACTCACTCGTAGTACACACACAAGCTTGTGGACGCTCCAAAAACGTTCATCAGATGGCCATCTGATGAACAAACGGCAGGCATCTTTACGGATCAATGCTGCCAGCTCACCCATGGCCGGTACTTTTTAAGTAATGGCAGACCGAGGATGACAACAAATTTGTCATCCGAATGCAGTACGATGAAGTCATCATCGTACTGCTTTCCTTCTAGCAAGTGGTGTATTCCCGCTTCACGTTTGTTTACTATCACGGATGCCCCAGTAGCAAGGCACACCGTCATCCTCGTTGGAGGGATCTCTCGCTCAACGTAGTTGAGCCTACTATCCTCTAGCGACTGGCGTCGAATGAAACTGTTTGACGCCCCACAGTCAACTAGGGCGCGAAGTGACCTTCCACTTGTCATTTCGATCTTCAAAGTGATGAGGGACACCTCATCACTAGGGTAGTAACACAAAGCGACTGTGTGTTGGGAGCAATCTTCGTCAAGAGTTCTACAAATTCTCTTGTTGTTGCTGGATCAGCAGGGTGCTCCTCCCCTACTGACCCTGTCCGTTTTCTGACGGTCCGACTTTATGTAGCGGTATAGCTACATGATCGGACCCGCGCCTTGGACCTTTCCTTGGCCAACGGCGGTCATCACGTCCTGTCTTTGGACATGGTGCGGTGCTTGGGACACTACACTCATAAGCGAAGTGTCCGATCTTCTGTCAGCTATGGTATCTTACCGTACGCTTCTGACTCAGAGTGCGAGAGTTCCCGCTCTCGATGTAAAAGAGGTCCATGGTTCGGGACCTCCGTTTCCTGTCGTCTCGTCGGACGATAGTTTGACGAGTTAGCCTGAGACTGTCTCAGGCTGAAGTCTTCTTGTTCCGCATACGCTATCGCCCTTTCCAGCGTATGGAAGTCCTCTCGGAGCATGTGGGTCTTACCGGTCCATCTACAAGGCCGTAGATGAACGCGTTGATGAGTGTGTGCTCATCAGCAGGGTGTTTCCGTGACGCTACTCGCAAGGTAGCGCAGGTGTTGTGCGTTGGCGTGC